CGTGCAATTTTCTGTACAAATTCTTTCTTAATCTAAAAATTCGTCAATCGCAAAAAAAAAAAAAAAAAGCTTTATTCACTTTTTATTCGTTATTTGTTATTCAAATAAAATCGTGATTCACGTGACGTACTAACGTATTGGCGCGTTTTTATTCGTTTTTCATAGTCCACAGAAATCGAGCAGCCAGTACTATGAGAGTTCTGTTCGCATAACATGTTCGAAGTCTTTGCCCTATATTCCCCTCGTTATTCCAAATACTCCTAACAACAAGAATACGCTACGTATTCTTGCATTTGCTATTCTTCGTAAAGGGTGGTCGAGCTAAATGTTAAATTATAGCCATTTCTTACTTTTTGTCTCTACCAACAGTAATATCTGCTTTTTTTCTTTCATCAATTATTTGTCACAAGCTCGAAAATAAAATTTCAAATAACTTTTTTATTCAATTTCTTTTCTGATTCAATTCTAATATAGTTTTCTTATATTTGTTATATAAATAATTTATTATTGAAAAAACATACATCAAGATTATTTCTTTCTACAGAAGTGACAGAAAAAAAATCCTGTAAGGCTGCGATTAAAATTTTAATTTCTTAATTTATTGTCATTTTTGCGAGGATTACATATGATTGAATTTTTAATAAGTTTTTAAACTTATTTTTCTTGTAGAATAAAATATAATGGTATATACGTTGGTGTGAATAATTAATAACATCATTATAAATCGAGTACTTTATTAAGGATCTAGAAGCGACAAATAATTAGCCGCTTAAAGATAATGACATAGCGGGGTACAGAGTTCGTGTGGAACATCAATTTAAGTGGAGTAAACTTTAAATAGACGTCCGTAGTTTACGGATGAATTAATTCCTGCGCGCATTTCACTTAGCAAAATTACTCGACTAGAGTTGCACACAGATTTCCTCTATCGATCTATCTACCTCTCTTTTCCTTTCTCTCTCTCTCTCTCTCTCGAAATAGTTTCTCAGGAATGCAAATTGAACGCAGAATGACTGAAAATTAACAGAATGCGAGCTTAATATTAAATAAACTATCTGATTTAATATCTGTGATATACATATCTATATAGCATTATTATATATAATATATGTATATTGCCCATTATATGCATTTAACAATTTATTCCACCGCGTAATTATTTATCAAGTTATATATGTATATACGCAGACTGATTTTAATACAACACAGAGAAATTGACATTGATTCTTAATTCGATTAAATTGCAAATATTATATACTGATATTGAGAATATACGTGATATGTGCGGTAATTAAAATGTAATATATCACGATTATTTAATTTTTCGCTCGACGCAAATATATCTCGATATCGCTACGCAACACGCACTTTGTGTAAAACCTGTTATTAATTCATATCGTTACGCATTATTCTAATGCAATAACAACGGAATCGATCAGTGCAATATTGCTTATTCGTTTTGCCAGAGCGAATTAAAAATTTTCCCTCGACGCGGTCAGATTGTTCATAATCGAATTAGTTCGTTCCACGTGTTCTGCAAACTTCTGTCGAAAATTACGAAGGTCCGCTGCAACTCAGTCAACGTTTCCCGATATAGGTACACCGCATGTTGTATCGATCGCAGGCGACCATCGCTATTCCGCAAAACTGTGGCTATTTGCAATAGAGATTCCCCATATAATTTAGGTCATGTCTGTTTTACCATTTTATTATTGCGCATAACAAATAGGCGACGAAAACTTACTTGATAAGTCAATAATTTGCTTGTCTTCATAACTTTATTGTCGATTTGAAAATTTTAATTTACATACTAAATAGATGGAAGATATTTAACATGTTCTTCGTCTTTTATATTTTAATTTACAGCAACTTGCGCGATAAAAGAGAGAAAAATTTTCAGCGACAAATAAAAATATCAGTTCTCGGATAAAACCGAAGGAGATCAATATTTTTTTTCTTTTTTCAAAGTAGTTACATGTGAAATCTGGTAGTACAAATAAAAAAGATTCAGCAATAAAAGTTCAATACGAATTATTAAATCATTGTATTTTTTGTACACACAAAACCGGATATAAAGAGATACGAAGAGTCGAAACTTTTATTCGAGTTGCTCGAATTGATGGTTCGGAATGTACCTTTACGACTTTAAGAAGACTCACCATCTTTACGATAATTCCACCAAGTGGAAGTTTCAAAAGACTGACAAAACTTCAGCATCGGCTTCATTATCTTACTCCAGCGTTCGCTTATCGTAGCGGTTTCGCCGCTGGAAAGTGCACAAAAGTCAATAATAACGTTTTTGCGAGTTTACGCATTAGACGAAATTCATCTTCTTTCTCTTTCTCTCTTTTCGTCTTTTTCTCTTGCTCTTTACCTCTCTTTGCTTCGTACTCGTCTTTTTTCTTTTTTTTTTCTTTTTTTTTTTTTTTTTTTTTTTTTGAAAGCGCATATCATTCATCAGCATGTGCATATGGGTCATATAACGCAGCCTTAATTAAGGCAGCGGACATGAAATTCGCAACTGGGTTGCACGTCCGCGAATTTACTGGTCGTGTAAATTTTAACACGAAGCGCCCACGGTTGTGCACGAGTCAAATTCGCCGATTTGTGTGCCCGTGTGTACGCCGAAAAATTAAATTGCTATTGCATTATAAACGCAACAATTATCTCGAATCCGCTCGCGTATTTTCCCCTAATGTGTAACTCTATGGACGCTATATTACGATTATTACATCATTTTTCTCTCGCATAAGTATATACAAATATTGCCGGACTTTTTTTCATCATCGACAATCTTGTCAATTAATTTGAAAAACTGATTACTTTTTAATTAATTTATAAAATTAAAAGCTACTCTCTTAATCGAAATGCTGTTTATTTTCAGCTCTCTCTCTCTCTCTCGATCCTTTTTTTTATAAATTATAAATGTTAAGTGTCCTTGTATAATGGCGCACAATTTCTCCGCAACGACGTACATACCTATAAGTTCGACGTAAGTGAAATGAACACGCGAGAGTCAGACCGCGATCGAGTCGCGTCTGCACGAGCGACTTTAACTCTCTGCTCTGTTCTTTACTGTTTCGAAAGAAAAAAAAAAAAACGTCAATTCGTTAGCAGTCGATGGCCGTTTGTCGATGCAAATCAAATTTGCTAGAGCCTCCGGGCAGCTTCGATTATTCGGGTATTCGCTGGAATTCCAATCCGCCGTATGATTCGGCTCGCTGAACACGAGAAGAGAGAGAGAAAAGGAAGGCCGTCTTGAAAATTCGAAATTCAACAGTGTAACCAATAATATCGGGGAAAGAGATCAACGTTGTAGCGCGGTATGTAAAATTACAGAAATGCTAAATTTTCTCCGCTACGTCGAACGGTACAAAACGAGACTGTGTAATAAAACTGCACGGTATTTACTCGGAGAAGCAGTTTTCTCTCAACATAAATTAATTTCAACAAATTCTCATTGTCGTTCGTGTATGTATTACTTTCTATATTTCATTATATAAAGTTGACACAAAGCGCGTTATTTACACGAGATCAAAATATAAACTAATGGTTTTATTCTGGAGTAGATTTAATTAATTTTCTCTTTTAATGGAAAAAATAATTCCTTTTTATTAAAGAGAAGAAAATTCTAAAAACAGATATATATATATATATACATATATACAAATGTATGTAAAATTCTATCATAAATACATATTAAATTCTACTGCACTTAAACTGAAAATGTTTGCGCACTGAATGCAAGAAATCCAAGATATCCTAGATCATTTAGAATACGAGAGCATATTTCTCTCTCTCTCTTTCAGCATACCATCAGACTCAAAATGCATATCTACACTCGCCATAAATTCACGAACGATGCGTTGCATAAACGGAGCAACTGCAAACAGCTGCGAGCTATATCACCCGGGCTTCTAATTCTTTCCTTTTTTTTTTTTACGTCGCGAAGCCCTGCTTAAAGCTGGCGTTTCGATCTAACGTCGGGCTTTAAGCCTCGGTTTACGTTAGGCTGTATACGTTCCGTAGGTGTGAATGTAAATAGCCGATGTTGCGAGGAAAATAACGTCGAGCCGTTTTTTCTCTCTCGTGCACGCCCGAATGCTTCGCCGGGAAAGAGAGCAGAGAGAGAGAGAGACGCACCCTGCGTTCGACGATTAACGTTCGGGAAAAATTGCGCGAACTCCAGAGAACGATTTGCCGCGTTACAATTGCGACGCACGTGTTTTTCCACTGCGCGAATATAATTCTCGCGCTTTTCATACATCGGTAATTAGTTTTGCGCACTTTCTCGTATCCCGTTTTATTTACATATGTATGTGTACGCGAGATAGAAGAATTTCCATCCCAGTGTCGAGCGACGGTGCAAAGTGAATTTTAACGACAAATTAAATTATAAATGTTTTTTCTTAGTTACGGGTTTTCTCCGTTCTACGAAAAAAAAAAAAAAAAAAAAAAAAGAAAAATCGAGTCGTTTTCATACTTATTCTTCGGAACCGTGACCCGCTTTCGCACGCATTCAAATTCGATCCGCCGCGAATGTCCGGCCAAAAAACTCTGTGCCCTCCGGAAGGGCAGCTTCACCGACGTCGAGAGAGAGGAGAGCGTGGTATATGGTCCAGTGAGATAACGTAGGCAGAAAGGAGAGAGGATGGCCGATAAAAGCGTCGCCCATTTAACAGAGAAGCGGGAAAGAGAGAGAGAGAAGAGGAGGCGGCGAGATGAAACGAGGGAATGTGGACCGCGGAAGAGAGAGAGAGAGAGAGAGACCGAGAGGGCATCCGCAGAGCGGATCTCGCATGGGGTAAGCGAGAGGGACCATCCCCGGGGCGCGCAGGCGCCGTGCGAGGATGGAAAAGCGGGTGAGAGCTGCTCACTACGCCCGGGATATGCCTCGCGGTCCTCTCTCTCCCTCATCGCGCATAGGAAGGGATGAAACGAGACGGAGCGCGCGTCGTCGTCGCAACCGGGAGCGAGAGGATAGAAGAAAGATCGCCGCGAGAGGAAGAGGCGGTGGAAGAGCAGAGGAGGCCCCTGGAAAAGTCGGGGAGAGAACGTTTCGCGCGACCCCCTTGCAGTGGCGCGCGCGCGCGACAGTCGACGTTTTCCGCGAGGAAAAGCCGCTGTCGTGTGCGAGAGTCGGAGCATCGGCGGGCAATCGTTGCACGTTCGAGCGATCAGTGCGAAGAGGGAGGAGGAAATTCGGTCCAGGAAGAGAGAGTCGCGCAAGGGTGGTGACCCGTGACTCTCCGCAGCGCGCCGGAGGAGCAAGCACAGCCAGTCCGTTCGACGCACCGCGGGTTGTACCACTGCGCCGCGCGCGAATTCAGTAGTGACGGTCCGCGCTCTGCTCGGACGTGCGTGCCGCGTTCGCCCCATGCGTCACTGATTTGGCCCGCGCCGCGTGACGTATGGATCACGACCGCGCTTTTTTTCAGTGTCGCCAGGAAGATCCATCGATCGATTTTACGATTCTCGAAGGACGATTGGTATCGAACGAAGAAATATCGTCGATCCGTATATTTGGCTCTACGTAAACTACGAGATCGCGATCGAGAGACCGAGTATTTTCCTGTATACTATTGGTGGACACCGATCGATCGAACGTACGTATACGCCAGCGCGCGTGAATCCAGCCGAACCCAGTGATCTCGTGACCTTGTGACACCGCCTAGGGGGAGAGAGAGAGAGAGATGCACCCACTGAGAGACTGAAAGCGCCCGCCTCGCGGTCGTACGCCGATCTCGCCACCGTGTCGCGCGCCGCGCGTCGGCTCCTCCCAGATCGCGAGAGGGTTGGCGATAAGGATCGAGGCGGAAGGACGGAGTCTCGCGCAAGCTTCGGGAAATCGAGATCGATCTTCGATTAGCACGATCCTCGAAAAATCGAAATCGGGAACAGAAATTTCGCCGATCGATCGGGATTTTGAAGAAAAAAAAAAAAAAAAAGAAATCGACCCTCTATGCGGAAATTGGAATCCCGTATCTACGTGATCGTTTAGAGAAAATAGAAAAGAAAGAGGTATATCTCCTGGGAGAAAAAGGATCGCGCGCCGATCGGCAAAATCCTGTAAATTGCACAGCGATCGAAGAAGCGTGCACGGCACTGAGCTTTTAGCCAGCAGCTAAAAGAGGGGGTCTCGTGTTTCCCACCCCCCGGTCGGTGGAAAATCGAAGACGTGTCGAAACTACCATGAGCGAGGGCACGCCGAAGTCGCAGACCAAGATCGTCGTGCCCGATGGTTCGCCAGCGCGTCCGCAAGCTGGTACGCTCTCTCATACTTATGCCAATATTTCTCTTCATTTTCTTCCGACTCTGATCTGCAAAAGATGCAAATTCGATCCCGAAAAAAATGTCTCCCTCGTGTTGTATAGATCAAACAACTGTAGTACAACACATTTCAATGAGAATAGCAATTTGTATTGTTTATATATATAAAAAAATAACAATTTGAATAATAATATACAGCGGTAAGAGTTGGAAAATTTATATTGTCATTTAATTTGATTGATTTTAAATTATTATTAAATTCTTGAATTTACTGAATAAATAGTTCTATAATATTATATGTGGGTTACATGGATCATTGAACTAAGAATCATCGCTAAGAAATAGATATTTTTATCCAGGTAGGATTATATAAGTGACACACGAGGTCGATGAATTGTCGGATCTTTTATTTTGAAAAAAAAAATTGATAAAGATTAATTATATCTATTTGAAAGATTTCATCAACTTTCCGCAGGCGTTCGCTTAAATTAATGGCCGCTACTTTGCACCGGATAGCGCTCGCGCAAAATGTGGGCGTTGAGAGGATCATAATTGCGGGATATAATCGCGACATTTTAAAGAGGAACTTTCTCTTTTTGTTGTCCGTACGGATGGCGAGAAACGTTTGTCTTATTCTGTCTCGCCGTTAATTGACTCAAGGTCATCCTTTTTTAGTTCGATACTAATTCAATTAAGCACAAGGCCGCGAGGTGAATCGATAGTGCACACGAGAGACAGAGTGGAGGCGCGATATATACGACTACGGAGTATCCCCGTGTGTTTTTAATGCCCGATAACTTTCTATATATCCGATTGTTCGATATAGCTACTAAAGTGAAGCTGTACGCTTTCATTATCTTTACCTACCGTTGAGTGTCAATTCATCGCGTATAGAACTAATCAGTTTTACGATTTTATGTAAAGTCGACGCTCTTGTGTCAAATGATTGATACATATACTATTATACTCTCTTTCTTTCTATCTTATAGATACACAGATTTATTTCTCATCTCTTTTTCTATACTTGAAAAACAGAAATCTTATATTAACCTTCTGGTATACAGGGTAATTAACGGACCAATGATTAAGGGCGGATTCTCTGGCCAATTTGGAGACGATTTTTCCTTAGCAAAAATGTTGAGAAGTCAATAATTTTCGAGTTATAAGCGATTGACAAAAATGGGTTTTTTGAAAACTAAACGTTTTGGAGTTAAAAGTTTAACACAATTACATTCTTCAGTTAATTTCAGGTAGAGTTTACTATAATAAAATTTTAATTTGAGGCTTAGTTATAAAGATACATAATGACAAATATTGGAAAGTTGTAAAAAATGATGAGCTTTTTCGACATTTTTGCTGAGGAAAAATCGTTCCCAAATTGACCAAAGAATCCACTTGTAATCGTTGGTCCGTTAGTTATCGGACACCCTGTATAATTATTATTTATTATACATGTCAAAAAAGATATGCATCATATGATTAAATTAAATTTGTAATTTAAAAGAAACTCTAATTCCTAAATATAAATAATCGAAAATTTGAATAACTTGATTATCTAGTTATTTGTGAAATTTAGTACACAAGTATCTCGAGTATCTTTTCAATCAAAAGCAAATTAAAATTAATGTTTGAATATTTTAATATTAAGAAAAAAATCAGTTCTAAATTGATCAAACACATAAACAATAAACCATTCGTGAATAACAAAAATTTTAAACTTGAATAATATTTACTTCACAAATGTAAATTCTATCTCAAAAATATACTAGTATATATGTATCAAAAAGTCTTGCAAATATTGATTCTTCTTTTATCTCTATTATTTTTATTTATCTATTCTATAATCAAAAATGTATAATCTGTTACATTTAATTTTTATTTAATATTTACTATTTCAAAGTGTGATCTACTTTTATACTTCAGTATATTAGAATAAAAAAAAATATAAGAGATTGCATTAATGTTTGAAAGCTTTATATTAAAGGCTGATCGATTTTCTCGAATAACGCTTAAGGTTTCGAAATTTCGTAGGCTATCGCGCGATTAAATAGAGCGAGATGGCCGTAAATACCGACTTTGTCAGCGAATGTTTGTGTCTTTTTTCAGCGTCCTCGTCCGCAAAGCGGATGTCGCGAAAACGACGACCGTCAGCAACCTACACGCGTAACTTATATACGTGTGCATGCAAATGCACCGGGCGAAGCAGCGTCCTTTGATCAGCAGAACGTGAAGCATTGCTTCAAATACTCGGCAACGGCGACAATCAAAGGTCATAGTTCGTTTCGAGAGCGATGTAAAGGTTTCGATTCGATCTCAATTTAAAGTCCATTTCGATGTAATAATTTTGCCAAAAAAAAAAAAAAACAAAAAGAATCATTGGGTTTGGTTGACACTTTTCGATATAAATGCTGAATTTGTGGCAAAAGAACTGTGATTTTAGTTTGCATGTAAACCGATTTATCTTTCGAGGGGTTTCCTTTTTCTCTATTTCACGTACAATCTGCACGAAACCGCAGTTTATTACATCGATACTAACGAGTGCGAATGATATTATGTCGATTTTATAGTTCGCATCCCGTTGATGTGAAATATTTGATTGGAGAAATCACATTTCTGCGGCAAAGTAGAGAGAGATTAAATAAAAATGAACAACCACAAACCACGCGCAGCGCTAAAGTGCACATGATGGAGCACAAGGCCATCAAAAACACGTTTGTTTACATCTCGTTACAAGACACGAGTGTATTCCAAGTTCTATCTTTGGTTCTGTATTCGTCAGGCTGTATTTGGAGTCGAGTGACATTGGAAACTTTATTATCGAGCGACGACAAATTGTCAGATAAAATAAAATTCTAAAACACGTATCTTTTTACTCTGTCCATGTTATCTCGTGATAAGATAAAAGCATTTCGAGACATGAGTTAACGCGAGACTTTATATATTATAAAATTATAGAAAAATATACTAATTCAAAATTTTATTCGAAATCGAATAGACTGAATCTTTGATCGTATGCTTAAATAAAGAAGTTTATATTTTACGAGAATATTTCTTGCGAAACGCTACTCGTTTTTGCAGGGAAAAAATATTCCGCAAAAAATAATTATCGATATACAAAATAAGATTGAAACGAGTCAAGATTCAACAAGTTAATGAACAAATTGTGATAGTTGAAGAGTATTGGATTTTAATTATATCTTTTTTGCCTTTAATTATAAATTTTTTATATTGCAAGAAAAAAATATATAATTATCAGTAACATCTTTGGCACCAATCGATATCCCAAAAGGCTCACTTTATACCGTCTTATTCGCGCGCGATCAAACTAATCGGATATTATTGGATTGATGTAAACCGTTTTGCAGTGCGTCTCTATATGATTTACACGTTCATCTGATCATTGACACACTTACGTGTACGTAATCATGATTGATCTGTCGAGCAGCGCGCAATAAAATTTATGCATCGGCCTCCTCCACTTGCTGTACGCATGTGTAAACAAACGTCGGTTTACGTGCAGAGAAGATAATCGCCGAAGCGTTATCATTCACGTACGTTACATCGCGATTAAAGCGCTTCACATTTCACCGCGAGTCAAAGGGAAAATCATCGTTACTTTATTCGTATTCACGCTCTGTCGTGAATTTTTTCTTTCTTTTTTCCCATCTCTTGAACGAGCGATAATTTCAGATATTTTTTTAAATCGGTCGAGAGACTGACTGAGCTCTCTTCATCTCTTGTATTTTACAAACAGACATTCTGGGAGTAATGAAAATAATTGAACGGCGAGGAATAATTGAACGGAATTTCTCCGTCAGGTTTTTAAATTAAGACCCTCGGCTAAAATTACTTGCTCGAGACGAATCCTCTAATTTTCAATGAATTCCTCTAAAAACACCGCGAAATTGATCTTGTTGACTCTGCGAGATAAAAACGACCGAGATCCATTCCGGGAGCCAACGATCACGTATGTATGCACACACCCTATGTTGACACATAGTTTGTCGATTGATGCTCGCCGCAGCATCAGATTTCGGATGCTGCGGCATCGGGCGTCGATGCGGCGTCATGCATCGGAGAATTACGTCGGCATAGCGTGGGTGCGCTCAAACGGGCGGTTGCGCTTCCGCGCGAAAATTCACGCCTCCCTGATTCGTAATTGCCGATTATTTTAATTTTATCGGATCTTCCCGCTGGCCGCCATTCTTCGATCGGAACAAATGCCGAAAATGAGCCCCAATAATCTTGCAAGATGCGACTCCAATCTCTCATTTTTTCACAATTTTCTCTATATTCTTTTTTATATTGACTATATTATTTATTGTTTTTTATATTCTTTCATCTTGATTTATATTTACAGTCACATCCTTTATTTTAGAGAGCAGTGCTTTATTCCAAATAGTTGTCCTTTAGATTTCATCCTTTATTCATTTTTTCAAAACCCAATTTTGTCCTTTATATTGCATTCTGTTTTTTATTTAGCATTTTCTAATCTCTAATTTTTAGAGAATTTACTTATTGTTAGCGTGTGGCTCTATATTCTTTTTTATATTCTTTTATCTTGATTTTTATATTTTCGATGACCATCCTTTATTTTAGAAAACAGTCCTTTATATTTCGAATAGTCATTTTTCAGATTTCATTTTTATTCATTTTTTCAAAACTCAATTTTGTCCTTTATATTACATTTTGTTTTTTATTTTTTATTTAGCGTTTTAATATCTAATATGTCGTAGTATTCACAGAATTTGTACAAAACTGGAACTTCTTATTCCCGAAATCTATTTAAGAAACCAAGGATTTGTTTGAACATAGTCGAATCAGTTTCAAACTATAAGAATATACGTAAACTTCTGATAGTCAGAATTTTTTTTGCTCGTCCGTCTCCACTTTTGGTTACAAACTGATTTGAAAACATGTTGAAACAAAGTCCTAAAGTCTTCAGATTTGTACTTTACTTCCTTTCAGAAAATACGGTCACCATATTTATATTGA